AAAGAAAGAACGACAGAAAGAAAGAAAAAGAAAGAAAGAAAGGAAGATAGAAATAAATAAATAAAGAAAGAAAGAAAGAAAGAACGACAGAAAGAAAGAAAGAAAGAAAGAAAGAAAGAAAGATAGAAATAAATAAATAAATAAATAAAGAAAAAAAACGAAGAAAAGAAAAAGAAATAAATAAATAAATAAATAAATAAATAAAAAAAGAACGACAAAAAAAGAAAAGAAAGAAAGAAATAAATAAATAAATAAATAAATAAAGAAAAAAACGAAAGAAAAAATAAAGAAAAGAAAGAAAGAAAGAAAGAAAGATAAAAATAAATAAATAAATAAAGAAAGAAAAGAACGACAGAAAAAGAAAGAAAGAAAGAAAGAAAGAAAGATAAAATAAATAAAAAAAAAGAAAGAAAAAGAACGAAAGAAAGAAAAAAGAAAAAAAGAAAAAAAAAGAAAAAAGATAAAATAAATAAATAAATAAAAAATAAAAAAAAGAAAGAAACAGAACGAAGAAAAAAGAAAAGAAAAGAAAGAAAAGAAAAATAAATATAAATAAAAAAAGAAAAAAAGAAAGAAAGAAACAAAAGAAAAAGAAAAAAGAAATAAAATAAATAAATAAAATAAATAAAGAAAGAAAGAACGACAAAAAAAGAAAGAAAAAGAAAAAAATAAAATAAATAAATAAAGAAAGAAAAAAGAAAGAACGACAAAAGAAATAGAAATAAATAAATAAAAAAATATATAAATCGATAAATAAATAAATAAAAATAGAAAAAAAGAAAGATAGAAATAATGAAACAAAGAAAAAAGAAATGAATAAATAAAGAAAAAATATATAAATAAATAAATAAAGATAGAAAGAAAGTGAGAAAGAAAGATAGAAATAAATAAATGAAAGAACGAAAGAAAGAAAGAAAGAAAGATATGAGCGCTGGATTGCTATACGTTATCCGTCCTCTTATATATCAGTGAATGTTGTGAAGAAAATAATTCGAGTCAACAGAAATATGGTTCTACATAAGGATACTGAGAATTCCATGAACGGAGCGAATGAGCCACGAAGAAGTCTTAAATAAAATGGCAAGAAAAAGAATGAGGAAAAGACAGATGAAATTCCTTGAACGCGTAATAATAAAGAAGAACTTTAAAATTATAAATTATTAGTTTTAAAGGGTCGCATCAGGCGGCAATTAAGCTAGCACCTGCTGAGGGCTCTTGATTGGGCCTACGGCTTCTTCAGGAGTTTGAGAGTCCCTAAGTCTTTGTATATTATCAGTACTGGAGGTTCTCCTGGTTGCTGTTTGATCTGGGTTTTCATTTGAAAGGAATTTTCTTTTCCTCGCTCCAACCTTAGCTCTTATGGTTCTCTGTTGATAGAGATTTCTTTTTGGGAGGCATACTGCTGCCGTATGAAATAGGCAACAATAAACTACAGAAGAACTCAAAATTGATCGCTGCGATAATTCTTCTGCTACCACTTAATTTAAAGACAATTTGATGTGCGTAGGTCCTTACTTTCCCTGCAGACATTTTTTTTTATTTCTGGTGTGACTTTCGCAATTAATTTTGCAATTAACCCTAGAACACTAGCCATCAATTAAAGTTACACCACATTAGATTAATTATTTATTACAAAAAATTAAAACCGCTAATCTTATAGTTGAAAATAATAATTCTCCTCTTAGAACAAAATTAAATAGAACAAATATTATTTATGAATTTAAATGTCCATTAAGGAATTGTATTCTTGATGAATTAAAATTCGTAAATAATTATATAGGCCATACTACAACATGTTTGACACGAAGACTCACTCTACACCTTTCTGACCACAGCTCAATTAGATCTCATTTAAATATTCATGGGGACCTACCGGACACTATTCGTAACATACTTGTTTATACATTCTTTTTATAGATACAAATATTTAAGTAAATGCTCTGTTTTTATAATAAACAATATTAATAACATTTACCGGCCTGAATATCCGAGAAGTTATATATATATATATATATATATATATATATATATATATATGAAATTTCTCAGAGTTAAATATTTAAGTAAATGCTCTGTTTATAATATTTGTATCTATAAAAAGAATGTATAAACATAAAAAATGTCTTAAAATAATTGTCCATTTGTCCATTTCATAATGTGACGTCATATATATATATATATATATATATATATATATATATATATATATATATATATAAAGAAAAGTTCAAGAAAGTTTGGATCACTAATACAAAAAAGAAAATGTCTCATGTCTCATAGAGAATATTTAACATCGAAAAACATAAAGAAAAAAATTTAATTAATTTTAATAATATGTGGGAATCTCCACCTTTTACCTGATGACGGTCGCGAGACCGGAAACGCGTGTAGCAAAATTATGGAAATTAAAGCATTTTTTTTAAAATCCACATTACAACCAAAATCGTTTGCGATTTCTCTCTTCTTTAATATACACACTTTTCTCTCGTTGGAACTACTATAACCTCTTCCTTATATATATATATATATATATATATATATATATATATATATATATATATAGAGAGAGAGAGAGAGAGAGATAGATAGATAACTATTACTTAGGCATCAAGCGCTGAGACTTATATTGGTCGTGTATATTTTCTATATATTCATACGAAGTTGGGATTTATAAATATTTAGTGAACTTGCAGACACATTTGCACTGAAGTCGGTCAAAACCAAACAATGTATATACGAAAAAGTAAAGATGACAGCGACATAAGTTACATAAATAAATGTCCAACCGAAACAAATGTCAGCATATGTCCATGCCTGTATCGTCGTCACTTCTTGTAAGAAACAAAAACACGCCGAGATGTGGAAAAGAGGGCAAAACGCGTTTACGTGTCCGAGCATGCGCAGTAAAACATAATCTAATCAAACAAAATGGCGGAGGTCTAAAGATGGGGCAAGTAGAAAAAACAAAGATCTACAACCGAAAAACGCCACAAATTGTTAAGAATAATAAACATGTTTTATTACACTTTGCCTGACATTTTCATCATATCGTCTGCTACTCTCATTTTTTCCTTGTTTCGTTTTAATCAGGTAAAATCGCTTAATTCAGACATACATTACGAAAAAAAAAAACGCTTAATTTTTTCTCACCGTAATGTATGCCTGAATTTAGAGATTTTATCTGATTAAAGGCGAAACAAGGAAAAAAATGAGAGTAGCAGTCGATATGATTAAAATGTTTAAACTAATTCGAAAAGAATAAATATGGTTTCACATAAATGCGATGCCAACATTCGCCATCTTTTGGAAAATGTTTGAAAACTCTTTAAATATTACATAAAGTTTTATTGTGTGTAATCTCCAAATTCAATATAAATTACAACTGTGCTTACGGCCACATAACGTTGAAACCCCGATTCCTGTACGATCAACGAAGTAAAGCAATGTCGAACTTGGCCAGTATCTAGATAGGTCACTACTTGGGAATACAAGGTAAGCTTGGAAGTGCGGGTCGTGTAATAAATAATGGATAGGAATTGATTATCGGAAAGCCATAGGGTTTGTTTTATTAACTTACACGCAAATACTCTGAGAAAGGTCTGGATCCACCTCGTCTCAACCAGGTTAATTAGTAAAACCAAGCATGGAGGAGAAGAGACCGATTCATACAGTTTTCAAGAGCATTTGCACGTAAGTGAATACAACGACCCCAACGGTATATGGAACTCTGCTCTTTGATTAATAATTACCCATTACACCAGCCGCACATCCAAGCTTGCAGCACATGGTAATACCAAGCGGTCACAGATCTAGATGTTTCAATGTGATGTGACCATAAACCGAGCTGGGTATGAGCGGTCACCTGCTTTCTTGGCAAACGGGCACACAACTGAGACCTTGAAAACGACTGTTCTCCTTGAGGCGGGGTTTAAACGATTTCTGCGAAGATTAATGATGAACTCTAAGCCAGGTATGTGCAAACAGCGGCCGGCGGACCACATGTGGCCTGTCTCACCTTTCTCAATTGCACGCCTAATTTCGTGTGGAAATTAACATTTCTTAAAATTTGATTTGTTTCGTTCCGTTCTCACTTGTTCACACACACATTCATGCATAAGCCCATACATATATACTCCTAGGTGTGACAATAAACTACATCCGGCAGCAAGGCCTCTGATCAAGAGATTGGAGGTTTTGAGGAGCGTGGAACCACCTCTTAATTGCTGTTGTTCCCAGGTTCACCCAGATTCCGGGTGGTAACACTGTTCGGGTCTCAGCTATGGCCAATATAGTGACCTCCCTGCCAAGCAAAAAAAAAATACTATTAATGTATAAAATACATATCTATAGTGAAAATACCAGCAATTCATTTATATATATATATATATATATATATATATATATATATATATATATATATATAAATGAATTGACCTCCCTTTTACTACGTTAATAAAACATCAAAAAGCAAAAGAATAAATAATACAAAATGAAAATGAAAAACAAGTAAAATAAATGAACCCCATAAAACAAATAAAAAATAAATAAACAAACCATTCCCCATATCTATACCAACAATGCACCACTGAAAATATATAAATAGCCCCAGCCTGACGATTGCGTCTAGCATGAAACAATTCATTTCAATTTTATATTTACATATTTATCTCTGATATATATTTATATATAAATATATCACACATTATATATATATATATATATATATATATATATATATATATATATATATATATATATATATATATATATATATATATATATATATATATATATATCAACAAGAAATTTATTGTAAAAATACCAATACATTTTATCTGTAGTTGAAGGAATACAAATGCGTTCAAAATATTTATATTTCGGCATTTCATAAGGGTATTTGCGCGTAAGTGAATATAACGAACCCAACTGGAATTGGAACTCCGCTGTCCGGTTAAGAATTCCGAGTCGTTATTCATTACACTACCCGCACACCCAAATGTTGCAGCTCCTGGTATTTCCATGCGGTCACCCATTTAGGTACTGACCAGGCTTGAAATTGCTTAACTTTGGTGATAGTACCGGAACCGGTGTTTCCAAGGGATGTGGCTGGAAAACAAAAGTCCTGGATATGATAAATTACGTTCGGCAACAAGGCCCCTGATCAGGAGATTTTGAGAAGCGTGGAACCACCTCTTAATTATTGTTCTTCCCAAGTCTACCCTGACCCATGTTGGTAGCATCTGTTAGGGTTTCAGCTATGGGCAAATAGCAAAATACTATGAATGCATAAACATATTTATAGTAAAAATACCAGCAATTCATTTTTATATATATATAAAAACTACAAACAAGACATATGTATAGTAAGATGACCAACAATACATTTTATATGTAGTTGAAGGCATACACTTGCTCTCAAAATATGTTTAGTTGTAGCCATGAAATTATGTTCAAATATTTAGATTTCAGCATTAAATGACCTATAGAGGTGTCGATATGCTGCTAAACAAAATCAACCAACCAATATGAAAGAACACTTTCATGGCATAATTCCATGTAATATCCTATTTTCTTAAAGAAATCAAACTGTATTCCAAAATATAACCTTAACAAAACTACAATATAAAACACAAATATCATTATGTCCACACAAACATGTAAGGTGTTGTTAAACAAACTTTGTTATGTTTTAAAATAAACTTAATTTGGTCATAGTTCATGAGAGTATCTTGGTCGGCTTTTGAACTTTTCAGCCCAGCCCTGTCAACCAACCAACCAATATGAAAGAATTCTTTCATGACATTGATCCATAGAATATCCTACAATTTCTTCAAGAAATCAAACTGTATTTCAAAATATAACCTTAACAAAACTACAATATAAAACACAAATATCATTGCCTCGAGTAATCATATCCACACAAAGATGCATATGCACAAAAGCTGAGTATAATCTACCATGTACTCAACTGTGAAAGCATAATAATCACAATAAGCATATCGTATTTTTATTACTTCAAAGCACCCAAGAAAATTAAATTTCAGTATTAAATGATCGACAAGGTATTGATAACAAACAAACATTGTTATGTAGACTCCTTATGTAAGTATCATCTACCATATATTCAATTGTGAAAGCAGAATAACATATATTTATTACTTCAAAGCTCCCAAGAAAATTAAATTCCGGCATTAAATGACCCATTAGGTGTTGATATGCCGTTAAACAAACAAATCAAATCCAATCATATGCATAAACAATGATTAAGTGCAATGTTTCTTGAACTTGTAATCTTTTGCCGAAGGTAACATTTTCATCATTTTAAACCATTTGCGATTTTTGCTAAGGAAGATCAGACGTGTAAATAACTTTTGCTTTAGAAACATGAAACGATTATAATAATTTTTTTTCTTGGAGAAGAAATATAACTTTTATCATTATTATTATTATTATTATTATTATTATTATTATTATTATTACTATTATTATTATTTTACTATCAAGTGAATAAATTAGAAATTAATCAGATCGAGCGACGTGTGCTAATTACGCTGCCATCTGTGTTAATATCATACCAGGATTTAAATTATAGAAAAATCTTTTTTTCAAAAAGAAAAAAACAAACAAATTTTCTCTATTTCTAAGACAGATTCTGACGAATATGTTCTTCTGTAGTAAAAAATGGCTGGGGGAAACTTCAATGATATATGAATTGAATCTTTTTTTTAGAAGTGCGACCCACCTTATGATAAAGCATATGTCATGCGACCCACTGGTCGGTAAAGGTTGCCCATACCTGATCTAGGCTGTTAAATATTGTCCTTATCAGACATTATTCTTATTACATATCATTCAAGTTAAAGAAATCCGATGTTGAAACGAACAGTAAAACGGGACTAAATATAAACTAGTTAGCTGTAGGTTATTTTATACAACGAACTATGAAAAAGACCAAAGCCAATTCTATCCAAGAGATTATTTTAGACTATATCTGGACATATTCTAGAAGGAGGTTGTTCTCGGTTGCTTCAGAAAGGCATGAACCCATCTCTCCGTACACCACCCGATATGGGTTAAATAAACAATGGTAACATATATACGAAAAAAATAATGTTTTGTAATTGTCTATTCAACAGTGTTAATTTCACTGTTTATTAGTAGAAATAAATCGGACGCATTACTACGTTGAAACACAGGTTTTCGTCCGATCACCGAAATTAAGCAACGTTGAGCCTGGTTAATAGCTGGATGGGTGACCGCTCGGTAATATCAGGTTTTGTAAGTTTAGATGTGCGGGTGGTTTAATGGATATTGGCTCACAATTTGGATTCGGGGAGTCGAGTTTCAGTTCCAATCGAATTTGTCATATTCATTTACGTGCAAATATCCCTGGGGAAAGTACGAGTCAACCTATCCGACTCCCTAAGCTATGGCTAAAATAGTAGGACTTGTATCAATAAATTATTATTATTTCCGAAATATTTTTACACTCTAAAACTTGTTTTGATGCCGGTGGTGACGATGATGGTGATGGTTGGGATGATGATGATGATGCTGGTGCTGATGTTGATGATGGTGGTGGTGGTGGTGATCATGGTGGTGTTGATGATGATGGTCATTGCGGGGATGATGATGATGGTGGGATGATGGTGATGGTGGTAGTGGTAGTGGTGTTGATGGTGGCGATGATAGTGGTGATGATGATAGTGGTGGTGATGTTGATGGTGGTGATGATGATGGTGGTGGTGGGCATGATGATGATGATGGTGATGATGATGATGGTGGTGGTGGTGGGCATGATGATGATGATGGTGATGATGATGGTGGTGGTGGGCATGATGATGATGGTGGTGATGATGGTGGTGGTGGTGCTGCTGGTGCTGAAGTTGTTGTTGGTGGCGGTGGCGGTGGTGGTGGTGACGATTTTCGGTTTATGGATTTAAATAAATGTCATGGATGTTATGAACGTCCCAGTCTCCGTTTATATATATATATATATATATATATATATATATATATATATATATATATATGGAGAGAGAGAGAGAGAGAGAGATAGATAGATAGATATATGTTTTTTTTTTTTTAATATTTCTTATTTGAAAAAGATTTTAAATAGCATGAATAAAAAAAATAAAAAAAAAACGTGCTTAAGCAAATGGTTGGAATCCACCCCCCCCCCCCCCAACGCCTCCCCTCCCCGTGCACATCATGGACATGTAAAAAATGTAAACATTTATTTAGAAAATCCTTTTTTTTCTTTGGTAGAGTTCAAAATATTAGGCTAGAATGCATCATCCAGCATCGTCGTCTACGCGCATATATGATGTGTAAACTTTACACAGGATGTGTAAACTGAATGCATATGCTTCCATTCGCTTTCCATTTAGCCATACAAACACAGCATCCAAGCAAAGATCTTCTGGGTTTTTTCTTCTCTTAGAAGAATAAACGTTGGAAAACGGTGGAAGGAAGAGAATTTTTTTTTAATCATTACACTGCCCCCAAGCAAGGCGATAATGCCCCTAACACGAAATGTTTTATCGAGTGTTAGAGAATATGAGTAAAAAGCAAAAACTTAATATTACTATCCTGAACGATGAAAGAAACGAAATTAAGACGACAAAAAAAAATTTACAGGAATTAAGACGACATAAGACACCAATTGACATTCTATTTAACCTTTTGAAGTTGCCTGGAAAGCAAGAAGCTGGAAGAGAGTTCCATAAGCGGGAAGTGTGAGAAAAGAAACTGTTATCAAAGAACTTTTGGTAACGTCTTGACAATTCAACTGTAAAATGATGAGAGACCTAGCTGCCAATCAAGTATTGCACTTAAATTCGTGAAGTCGAGGGCTAAAGAAGAAAGTTCTCATGAACAATTACCATGAAGATATTTATAGAAAAGGCACAGGGAAGTTACATTATGGTGATGGAAAATTGACTAAAGCAGAGTTGTAAGGATTTTCTTTGGATTTTGTCGATATTTTGTATATATAGAACCTAAAATATAATGCTACTAGACCACATAGCACAACATTATTATTATTTTTTTTATTTTCTTTGATTTCTGGCGTTTACATTTCTTTCCGGGTCCCTATTAGAAATGGCGTCATGATGACAAAAAAAAATAAAAATAAAAGATTACATAGATAAAGCCCTTCGTAAGGTTTTGGGCTGTACTTGTCAGAACAATTTTCTTATCTCCTTGAGGCATGGACTTCCAGAAATCCCTTCAATTAGTTTGGAATCTTTTCCAACCAGTCCTAGGGCTCCAACCAACAGGGATTGTTGATGTTCCCATATGCCACATTTTTCGCGATTTCTATTTCAAGGTCCTTGTATTTGACAACTTTTTTAACATTTTATTATTATTAATTATTATTATTTTTTTCTTTCTGGTGTACACATATTTCTTTCCAGGCTCCAACCACAGGTCTCTGGCCAGCAATGGTATCATAACATTTTACACTGAATATTTTTGTAAAAGAAAACTAAAATTACACACATTTTACATCGATAAAGCTCTTCGTAATGTGTGAACTGTTCCCGTGAGTAAAATAAAAATGTATTTCTTTAAGTCATTGGCTACCAGGGACCCCTTCAATAAGTCTATCAGGATCACATTCATTCAAATCGAGGGAATTATTGATATCTTCATGTGATATATTTTTGAGATTTCCACTTCAAAATAATTGTATTTTATAGTTTTTTGAAGATCTTCAAATATATACAGTGTAACCCGGATATAAGAGACCCGGATATAAGAGAAACCCGTATATAAGAGAGATTTTCTCTGGGCCCAAATTAGAGCCTGTGTTAATGTATATAAAATAGACCAAACCCGGATATAAGAGAAACCCGGATATAATAGACTTCTTCTCCGGTCCCGACAACTCTCTTTTATCCGGGTTAGACTGTAATACAATCTGCAAGGACTGGCTTGTCAATAAGAAAGCACATTGTGTTTTTGTGGTCATAGATCACGATGTCTGGGAGATTAGCGCTGATTGTTCTGTCTCTGTGTATTTTAAGGTCCCATAAAATTACTACAGGTCCTCTCTCTATAACCGGATCTAGGCGATGTTCATACCAGTTTCTTTCAGTTTCCTTCTCGTAAAAGCTGTATATGTTCCAGTGCAATTTTTGGCACAGTCTGTCATGCTCAGTTTTATATTCTGTGCAAATAACTTGCAATCTGATACAAGATGGTCAATTGTTTCTGGATATTTATCAAAGAATCTGCATTTCGGTTGACCGCAATTTTTCATTGTAGGGTTGGTAATTTCTCGTTGGCAAGCATTGGTCCTGTGTAGGAAGAATAAAACCTTCACTTTAAACTTACTGATGGGTACGGGATTTGTCTATATCACCTTGTTTGGTACGGGCAGGTTATTGACCATGAAGAAGTTTATCTTGCCATCGTTTCTGCAATTGGTACATTGCATTTGCTTTCTTTTTTTAGGTTGTTTGCCACTGCAGCAGGTACATTATGGCTTATTTTCATTTCTTCGCCCACTTCAAATTCCCTTTTAAAATCGTTGGCGTCCTTCAATATGGAATAAAGTTTCTGATTTCTTTCATGTTCTTTGACACAGATCATCATCCAGTCTTCAGTAATTTACAGGTATCCTCGAAGACCGATTGTTGTCGTTTTGTCAGACAGTTCTAGTTGAACTAATCCTCTGCCTCCTTAAGATCTGGACACATACAGACGATCAACATTACTTTTAGGATGATGTATGCGGTGACAGGTGAGAAGCTTTCTCGTTTTTACACCCATTCTCTTACCGCTAGATATGGTCCAGTTAAAGATGTATAAACTGAATTGCATCACAAATAGAGCCAAGATGTTTATGGTTGATATTCTGTTAGGTGGATACAACTCGGAGTTTAACACCAGACGTACACGCCTGTAGTATTCTTTTCTTACTTTCTTCTTCATTTGGGTAGGCTGTATTTTATCTTCTTCGCTGACGCCTAGTTACCTATAGGCTTCTTCTTTTTCCAGTTCCTTAATCTTTGTAAATCTAAATCTGTTGAGTTTGTTTCTGTAATCCTCCCTTTCTTGAATTTTACTTTTGCACATTTATCTAATCCGTAAGTCATACCTATGTCATCACTGAAACATTTTACAGCATCGAGGAGACCCTTCAACTTATTGTCGGCTTTAGCAAAGAATTTGATATCATCAATGTAGAATAGGCGATTAAACACTTACTTTTTTTTTAATTTGTATCCATAGTTAATACGATTTAGTTCAGACAAAAGGGGATTAACAACAGACAGAACAGAAGGAACAAGGAATCTTCTTGAAAAATTCCTCGTCGGATATTCAAACAATTGGAATTGGCAATACCTTGGGTGTAATTTCGGTATAATATGGTTTTCAACAGTCCCATACTACATTTAAGGAAATTTCCTATCACTGAAGAGACTTTGCACATTTCCAAAGCTTTTAGCGTCCAAAAGTGTGGCACACTATCACAGGCTTTACGGTAATCTGTCCAAGATCTTCTTATTTCTGTTCCCTAATCTTTGTGACAAAATTTAGATCTATTAAGTGTATTTCTGTCATTCTCCCTTTCTTGAGTTTTACTTTTGAACATTTATGTAATCCGAAATCCATACCGATGTCATCACTGAAGTCCCTCAGAAGACGAATCGTGTTGGTTAAGATAAGATTTCCTTTTGTATATTCCCACTCATCTCTCTCTCTATCTATCTATCTATCTATCTATCTATCTATCTATCTATGTATGCATCTTTCTCACCTTTTATCAATCAGATTCCAACCCAATAACATTCCTGAATGGATAACTGAAGGTGTTACAAATTTTATCAATGCTAATTAATAACCCTCAGGAAATTCCAGAATGAATCACTGAAAGTGCTACAAATTTCTTAGAAAAACGGGTGAAACCAAAAAAATTATAGGCTTATAACATGTCTGTCTACCACATAAATTAATCATCTCTTTCCTCACGAAGATAAAACTGAATTTTCATTAATCACAATAAAACTATAAACAACTGTATTGCTAATGACTCAGATTCCAATCTTTCATCGGGAATAGGTTAAGTCATGTCACTGATTTGAAGAAGTGAATGCAATAAAGAAAAAAGCGAAAAACCTCTTCGGAAGATCTCTGCTAATGGACCCCAACCATATTCAATAATAAATATATCCAGTCGAGATCATGCATAGATTCATTGAAGAAAATTATATATATATATATATATATATATATATATATATATATATATATATATATATATATATATATATATCATCTAATGATGAAACTAAATAATACAACAGGCGCCGGATTTTGCCAGAGCTTGACCAAAACGTCTTGAAATCTATCAACTACTCTCACTTAAAAGCAATGGCTATCGGTGAAGACACAGTTTTCGCTCATTTACCGAATTGAAAATCTGAACATATAAAAAAAAAACAAATAAGAAAAAGGCATTATCCTGTTTTCAAATGGAGTTGAATAAAAACCGTTTTCGTGTGATTCTAATGTCTCAGAAAAAAATGGTTTAAAAAGAAGAAAAAAAAATGAAAGCAGCAAACGACATATAAAATGGCCGCAGTCGGACGGTATTCAGTAAAGCTTAGCAGAGCTTGAGATTGGGCGAGGCACAATATGTATTTTGTCTTTTGTTTGGGGCACCATTTATTGTTGGCCTCATCTTGTTGGCCTGTGGATGATATTTTAGATAATAACGGATGTTGAGTTGGGAGTACTTTTTCGCCATGAGATGATTTTTTCTTTTACTTTTTTTTTTCACCAAGGCAGACACTATAAAATAAAAAGAGATGGTGGGAAGGGAAGAGAGAAATAGAGATCTGATTGATAAAAGGTGAGAAAGATGCATACATAGATAGATAGATAGAGAGAGAGAGAGAGAGAGAGAGAGGAGTGGGAATATACAAAAGGAAATCTTAACTAACACGATTCGTCTTCTGAGGGACTTTATCACGGCAAATGCAAGAATTTTATTTTGTAACAACTTTTTCTATACAAAAATAGTATTAATTTTCAAAATTTTTAAATTTAAGAGATAGATAGATAGATAAATAGATAGATAGATACATAGATATATAGAGAGACAAAAGACAGACGAATATTGACGTAGATAGATAGATAGATAGATAGATAGATAGATAGATAGATAGATAGACAGACAGACAAATATTGACATCCATAGATAGATAGATAGATAGATGAATATTGACATAGATAGATAGATAGATAGATAGATAGATAGATAGATAGATAGATAGATAGATGAAAGGAATGACTGATAGAAAGATGAAAAAATGAGACAAACAGATAGATGTAACAATGAGATAGAAAGTAAGAGATAGATAGATAGATAGATAGATAGATAGATAGATAGATAGATAGATAGATAGTGGGTGGGAGAAGGTGTAAACGATGTAGCTAAAAGGTATATGTTTGCAACAGAGGTACAAGCTTGGCAAAATTATTTTCTAAGCGTAGGTTAGATGTGGCACAAAGCCGAATGTGTGGAGCACTCTGTGAAGATCGAACTCGCCATTCAATCGTAAGGGGTAGGTAAATCGAGAGAGTGAGGGAGAGAAAGAGGAACCGAAGGAGGCAGAGAGAGACAACACACACACACACACTCACTCACACATATATATATATATATATATATATATATATATATATATATATTAGTGAATGTGCATAATATTCAACGTCGATAACATAACTCGGAGTTTCATACACTTATAGCTCTGTTTCACAACATTGAGTACTCTATAACACCTGGCGAAGAAATATATTTATACTTACGTGCACGTATATCCTACCAATATATATATATATATATATATATATATATATATATATATATATATATATATATATATATATATTTTATTTATTTTAGCACATATTACACCAAATTTCTCTATTAATTTTCATCTTTTCTGGATATATATATATATATATATATATATATATATATATATATATATATATATATATGTATTTGTATTTGGTTGATAGATGTGTTAGCTCTATCTCTGATATTGAGCGCTTTCTAATAAGTATCGCGCATATAATATATAAATAATTATACATACTTATATTTATTTATATTTATATACACTTTTCACATATATATATATATATATATATATAGATATATATATATATATATAGAGAGAGAGAGAGAGAGAGAGATAGATAGATAGATAGATAGATAGATGTATGCATGTAGTTACCTCCCAAGAAGCGATACCTAACGATTAAAATGCATTTTTGAAAATGAAAGAACTTTTAAAAATTTTATTTTAGTTTTTTTAATTACAATTTAATTTAATTTAAATCTAATACTTCCAATGAGCAAACTATTTTACTGTATTTTAAACTGAATTTAAATTGATCGGGATGATTTTTTTTATTATTATCAGTAACATCACTAATATCGTTATTCTTGTTAAATCTTTCAACACATCATAATTCTTTCTTCTTTTTTTTTTTTAGAAATAAAATATAATTCTCTGAAACTTTATGAGAGGAAACTTAATTTATTTAAAATTTAATATGAATTACAGTAACTAATAGTTACATTTATTTTAAAATAACGCAGAAAAGGTGGGTGTTTTATGAGGAATTGACACATTTACCGATAACCGGATGTTTGCGAGATTTATATTAGCGAGCCAGATCCGATTAATAGATAGATAGATAGATAGATAGATAGATAGATAGATAGATAGATAGATAGATAATGAATAATGAACTGGCTGTGATAGATAGATATGAACGGGCTGTGATAGATAGATAGATAGATAGATAGATAGATAGATAGATAGATAGATAAATAGATAGATAGATAGATAGATAGATAATGAACTGGCTGTGATAGATAGATAGATAGATAGATAGATAGATAGATAGATAGATAGATAGATAGATAGATAGGGTGGGGAGGAGATAGAGGGTGTGAAAATGCGATAGATATAGAGATAGATAGAAATGAAGGTTAGACTTTAGTCTGAATAAAGCTGTAAAAATGCGTGTAGATTGGTTAAATATGCTGGTATATATATATATATATATATATATGAATAATATAAAAGTCGAAATGGAAGTCACATCCGGCTGCGACAATTTCATGCTTAAAAGTAATCCTAAGGCCATACATATATATATATATATACATATATATATATATATATATATAGAGAGAGAGAGAGGGGGGGAAGAAGGGGAGAGATGCAAAATAAAAATGAAACATTGTAAGATTGGACTAAAGTAGTTACAGAAGTCGCAACAAAAATGCGCACATACACACACATATTCACACACGCACACATATCTGTCATACATACGCACACATACATATCTATCACACACACGCACACATACACACGCACACATATCTATCAATTTATATATCTCTGTGTCTTTCCCTCTTCCTGTCTGTCTGCCTCTCCTTCTCTCTCTCTCTCTCTCTCTCTCTCTGTATATATATATATATATATATATATATATATATATATATATATATATATATATCATATCATATTTGATGGCTCCATTTGCGTTTAACATTGATAGTGTCTGGCGCCTATAATACAGAGGACATATTTTTTAAGCCATTGTCTGCGAGCCGAGGATGGGGGATGAAGACGCTTATATACAAAATTTAGAAAGAAAGAAAGAAAGAAAGAAAGAAAGAAAGAAAAAGAATTCACATAGAGAGAACAATATTCAAATAAAAATGTCGCTGTGTGTGTGTGTGTGTTTAAGATCGACTTGTTACATAAGATTAAAGGAAGATGATATATGTACGATAATATATATATATATATATATATATATATATATATATATATATATATATATATATATATATATATATATATGAGTGAATGACTTTGTGTGTACGACAGGGTGCTGAAAAGGCTTACTTCCCACCCGTAATCTGACAAAATGAGTAAACATCAGAATTTGTTTTCTTTTTGAAGACGTTTCTTGGTCGGGCTGACAACATTCGGCCAACTCCGGTGTGTATTCATTATGGGGGATCAGTTTACTACAACTAACAAAAGAAAATTGATCCCCTACTTTATGAGGAGAAAAATAAACATATAATGACTCTTATAAGTTAAGCTGAAATGTCCTCGACACGATCCACTTCTCAGAATATGCACTATTCACCAAACCATCATATTTTTTTCTTTTGGAAAGATTTCAGGACGAAGGCGTTGATGGTACTCCACCTCCCTCTATCTCTTGCAGGTCTCAACAAGTCCCTTCCTTCTGTCACCTTCCCCAGACCACGTTACCTCACTTATATATATATATATATATATATGTATATATATGCAAACATATCTATATAGAGAAAGACTGTGCGGTTCTGTATTGAGATAGATAGATAGATAGATAGATAGATAGATAGATAGATAGATAGATAGATAGATCATCATCATCATCCTCCTTCGATCTCCGTATCGTTGGTCCGAACTCCATTGACAATCCCTTTCCACCCTGATTGGTCCTTCATTGCTGTCCCCAGATATCTAATGTCCAACCCTGTGTCCCGAGCTAGGGTGTCTGGAAAAATCAATTTTCGTGAGAAGACACGTCAAGAAGGAATAAGGATGAGACGATTTCCCAGTCCGCTGGGTGGTTAGATAGATAGATAGATAGATAGATAGATAGATAGATAGATAGATAGATAGATAGATAGATAGATGTGCGCATTTCTGTGCGCGGGGACATAATTATCCAAACAGATCCGTATAGAGAGAGACAAAAATGGAAAAGAAAGATAGATAGATAGATAGATAGATGGATAGATAGATAGATAGATAGATAGATAGATAGATATGAATATAAGTGAATCGATAGATCGAATAATGAATGACCTGAGACAGATGTATATATGGATAGATATGAATAGACTTGGATACACAGATAATAAAAACATAACACATATGGATCAGAATTAGATAGACAGATATATATATATATATATGTGTGTGTGTGTGTGTGTGTGTGTGTGTATGTCTGTCCCTCTCTTTCCATGTAACAATATATATGTGTATATATATGTGTATTTATATAAATTTATACATACATACATGTACATTTGTATGTATGCATGCATATACCTATAATATATATATATATATATATATATACATAAACATATAAACATATACATACATTAATATTCATAAATATATACATACATACATACATAAATATATATTTATATACATATATATAGGAATATATCTATATATATATATATATATATATATATATATATATATATATATATATATATATACTGGTCCGGCGTTGCCCGTGCTTGATTCAAAAATCGTACGACTCATACAGCAATCGCTATCACTTGACTTAAAATATTTTTGCCCTTCCTTGGCTTTAAAAGAGTGCCCTTTGCCGTGCTGATGTTGCAACATGCCTTACTTCTTGCCTATCTCACGCTGCGAATTTTTTCTAAACTCTATACTAAACATTAAATCAGTTACGAAAAAAGAACTAAACAAAATGAACACAAAACGATCAGCTTTAAAAAAAAGGACTCGTAACTGGAAAAACCGAATGAAAAAAGAATGTTAACAACAAATACTTTTTCACACTCAACTCAGTTCTGCGGAATCAGAATCAATGTTGAGTTTAAGCAAGCGAATGAGCCAATTGGAGTAAAGTGCCATGCAGATTTAAATTTTTCCCACTTGTGACGAATGCAGCTATAGATTTTTTTGCATGCCAGCATGCTAGTTAACATTCGTGTCAGTCAGCTGTTGGCTCTCACGCTGGCCAATAGAATCTTCCTGTCTATTCGGGGCAGCGAGCTATAAGGTCTCACTCTGGCCAGTACAAAATAGCAAAGTCGGTCGGAAATGCAAAGTCGGTCTTGGCCTTCCCGCTAACTTGGAGCATGTGCATGTAAATTTTGGTGCAAATCCGTCGAAAATTGCAGGCGTGTATTCGTTACACACACACATCCTATATATATATATATATATATATATATATATATATATATATATATATATATATATATATATATATATATATATATATATATATATATATATATATATATATATGGGTGTGTTAAAAAGTTCTGGGCCTCACCAACAGCTTACAAAAATGTAATTTTTTGTCATTGATTGGATTCTTGCAAAACATTAAATAAATTATATATATATAAAATAGATATATAGATACAAAAATTAGATATGAACAGGGCTACCTAGCTAGCTAGATAGATAGATAGATAGATAGATAGATATGCGTGTATATGTGTGAGTGAGAGTCAATGCGTGAATCTCTATTTGTATCTATCTATCTCTCTATCTATCTATTTATCTATCTCCCTCCCGCTCCCTCTCTCTGTCTATATATATATATATATATATATATATATATATATATATATAGGACCAAAATGAGATAAATAAATTGATAGTTAATTAGATACATAGACAGAAAAATAGATAGATAGATAGATAGATAGATAGATAGATAGATAGATAGATAGATATATGGCAACCAGGCAAATTTTTGTTTGAAAGAAAGGACGCTGTATATATAAAGAACAACAATCACACGTTGAGGCCTTTTCTGCGCATGTGTCGAGAAGAGAAGAGAATCTGAACCTCGTGCAAACAGTGAATCATGATGGCATATAAATCTCACCGACTTTTCCCGTCCTGTTGTCGGAAAAGCAATTAAGGAACTTCTCCAAATAAGTGCAACCAAAAAAGACAAAAACCGTAGACATAATGGCGGCCGCGTTCACGAAAATGGCGGGAAACACTTGTATTACTCGCAAACACCTTTTTACCACCATTTTTTTTTAAACTTTCCTCAGTATTTATTCACAATTTATCTATATATGCATATCCATATTTTTATATATATATATATATATATATATATATATAAAAGGAGAGAGAGAAAAAAGAGAAATGTAGAGACAAAGAGAGGTACTCACACACAAAATATATATATAAATGTGGGCGAGTTGAAAAGTTCTGTCCCACCAAGCGGCTTATGCCGACAAAAAATTGATGTTTTGTCATTCGTTTGAAAAACATGAAATGAAGAAATTATATATAAATAAACATTACATTAAGAAATTATATAATTATATATTACGTACAGTAGAATTATATTCTATTTGTTCTCATTTTACCTGTATATATATATATATATATATATATATATATATATATATATATATATATATATATATATATATATATATATATATATAACATTGAAGTCCACGCTTACAGCCGACAAGCTGTTTCATGCTAGATGCAATCGGTGTCCTGACGATTGCGTCTAGCATTAAACAGCCTGTCGCCTCTAAGTGTTGACTTCAATGTTCACTTTTATATTTACACACGCTCTCTCTCTCTCTCTCTCTCTCTCTCTCTCTCTCTGATATTGAGCATTCTATCCCATAAACATGCCACACCTTACGACTATATTGCTTCATATATATATATATATAGTTATTTATTTAAAAATTATAATATAAATATGTTATAAAACCACTACAAAAATAGCCATTTTGTTTCAACACCACTAGTGTCTTATCAAGTGATGATGTTGAATGTAGAATAAAGGGTTTTAAAAGGTTCAAATCAATTAACCACCCCTCGCAAGGGGAAACGCTGTTACATAAGCTAGAATGACCAATCAAAACACAAGTACACGAGAATTCAAAAAACTTGACATATATATATATATATATATATATATATAGCCAACCTTCTCATATATATATATATAAATATATATATGTATGTATATATATATACATAGATACATACATGCATACACACACGTATATATATATATATATATATATATATATATATATATATATATATATATATATGTCACACATATATTATATATATAAATATATATTATACATATTAATAAATATATATATGTCACACATTATATATATATATCTCACACACACACTCTCTCTCTATATATATATATATATATATATATATATATATATATATATATATATATATATATTGGTGAGTAATAATAGTATTGAAAAAAAAAAATTATCATTCACAGACTCCGAGAAACAAAAAGGAAAAAAGAAAATAAGTCATCCCTTATATTTTAACTTTCAAATCAAAGAACACAGAAATCTAGACACACATACCACTATATTTACCAATTCTACTAAAGGACAAAATAATGAAATTTCTAATTACAAAAATCCCCAATCATAAAAAGTAAACGACAACCAAAATCACTGAAAATATTAGTGACGAGTGTAAAACTGCAGAACACAATTAATAAATGCCACCGACCCTTTTGCAGCTAGCTATTAGTGAGACAGGAATTTCATTTCAAAGACGGATCCAAATTCAAAATTGAAAATGATTTCTCGTGCGACTTCAATATACATAAATACATGCTAAAGTTGCCACGAACATTACATTGGTCAAACCTGTCAGTCACTCCGGCAAATTAGGACAGTTCATCGCCAACAAATTAGGGACTTCCCCCAAAATATCCTTTATCCAACATATAGATGAATGCGAAGGACAAAATCTGACAAATTTCAATGTCTTCCCATTCTACCCGTGTGACTACAGAACCACTGAATAAAGGCGGATTAATAAGGAAACATTTTTCCTCAACAAGTTCAAACAACACTTAATTCGTTGCATAAATAGATTCAACCAAATATTCCTAATCATAAGCGATATATATAGCCAGTTAAGCCCCTTGATTTTTACCATTTGTTCAAAACATAAGCGTCAACACATGGAGATACAAACAGTTAAAAACTTTTTGAAAAATTAAGCGAAACCAGTTAAAGTAACAAAAATAAAACAAGAAATTATTTTTCTAGGAAAAAAAGACAGTGAAAATCCAATTGGACGTAACACTTTAATATTCCTCTGTAAAAATTTTAATATTCCTCTGTAAAAATACATATATTTTAAATAAAAATTATTATATAAAAAATAGGTCCCTTTTTCCTACTTCGTATTTTAATATATATATATATATATACATGCACACACACACACACACACACACACACACACATATATATATATATATATATATATATATGATTGGATTGATGTGAGTTTGTGACTCTGGGTTTCAGGCTTTTGCGATCGTCAGACACACTGATTATTTTTTTTTTCAATTTTGGGTTTATGTAGATTGCGTGTATTGGTGTTATTATGGGAGTGGGGAGGGAATCGTCGTCGTGATGTCACTCATCCTAAAACAAACATAGATGCATGTCTGTACACGCGATGAGGTACGCAGACACAGATACACACTCGCTCGTCCGCCGGGGCTCATACAGTTATAAACATATGTGGACAGTTTCGGATTTGACATATTTATGCATATGTCTGCGGTTGTCTATATACATACGCATTTGTATGTTGAAATTCAAAGATCGGAAGTGTAGCGAAAATTTCTCG